ACTAATTCACGTGATTCAAGGGTAGCTATAAGGAGTACATTAATTGAGAGTTATAAGGGGGACATTGCTATAAACACTGTACTAATATTGTAACAAACACTAATACACTGTCATGCTATTTAATGTTATTGATTATATGATACTAATATTATTACTAGCATTAGCACTATTGACTATTACTGATATTGTGACTGATTATGTAATGGATTGAGATGTGATGAACTATAGAATGATAAATTGATACTGATAATTAGTATAAATATTGATACATATATTTCTTAATATTATTTATAGCATATTATTCTTTGTTATATTGCATTATTTTTAGTTGTAATATTTTAGTTACTTGTTGAGCTATGTACTCATTACATGTTTTACATATTTTAAGAAAAAGATAAAGATATTATGATATGAGGCTTCAGAATACATGCAGAATTATTATATCTACGATTCTAGATAAAATACAATCATGTTTCTTTTCACTATTCATTGGTAATCTCTAGTTAAATAATTAAAATAAAAGGCAGATATAATTCTTTAAATATAGATCCTAAAGTGTGACAATTGGTCCCTCAAAAAAATAGTAAGTCACATAGGGAATTAAATATATGCCCATTTAGGTAACTCGCAAGTATATCTTCAGTTATTAATTCAAAAGAATTGATTAGTGGAGCAAATAGTCAAAGTAGAGCTTGTTCAAAAGAAGCTTTACCCTACAAAGTTATGCCATATATGCAATATATCATATATACTCATATCATATTATTAAGTAAAAAATCATGTTCATTTTTATTATATTAAAAATATCTCATAAAAATATAAAATTTTACAAAGTTAAGAATCGGCGTCGTTGCAGCGCCTCAAACATCAATTTCGTAGCGTTTTAATGTCCTCGCATTGGAATTAGACATTGTTGTGGGAGAGCCCCGGGAAAAATTGCATTTAATTCAGGGCCCGAATGGAATAAATGTTAGCACTGTTGCACTATGAATGCCTCATTGCCTCCAGAGGAACACTGTATTATTAAAGCCTAAAAAAACTTATATTTAATTCAACATCGAAGCATCAACCACTAGAGCGTCGCATTGCTGGATGACGGATCAAGTGTAGCAATGCCCATCTTTTTTCAACAATGCGACAAAGTAGTTATGAAAGGAAGTGTAACACTGGATCATCTATGGGTTGTGCCGTGTCAACCAGCTATTGTGCCTAGTCAGCCCAACATCATAACATAGTCAATTTAGCAGTGCCGAGGTGCTAGTTCATATTTTATTGCCACTGCACCACCCTATCGAGCACTACGACGCCTGAGTCTATTTTTATAAAATATAAATAATTCATTTTGCTTTTCTTTAGAGGGTCATGATAGTGTGCTGTAAGAGAAACCAATGTATAGTGAGATACTTTTAGTGGAGTGACTAGTTATTATTGTAGTGAGCAAAATTGCATATAGGAATGAAAAGGAGTGAGGAGAGGAAGAGTTCATCTACGATATATGTTTGGGATTTTCCAATTTAGATAATATTTTCTTCTTCTTCTTTGTTTGTACCTTTTCCCTTAGAAAGAAATGAAATTTTTTTGTTCCAATTTAATTCCATTGTTGGCAAAACTCTTTGTTTTGGATTGATGATGTGAATACCTTTATATTTCCTAATATAAACTCTTGTATGTAACTGTGAATTGTTATTATCAATTGTTCTCATATTTAATTTAATTTGTGAAATGGTTGTGTATGAATTTAAAATATAGTGTGATACATTACCTAGATTGAGGAATATTAGAATAATTAGGAGAATTCTGATGGAATGCTTACATGTCTAGACATAGGATATTTATTATTTGAGGAACTATGGAGATAGAATCATTGTAGAGAAGCCATATACTTTTCTTTACATCCTTACAAGATCGATAGAGATCTAAGGGTGCAAATGCTCTAATTCACAATTAGTATATACGAGTAGGCTTAGAAGAATATAGGATTAATCATTGTCATTAGTCCACAACATATTTAATTCTTGTTATCCTCGCTAATTTCTATGTTTCTTAGTAAGATCATTAATTAGTCTTTATTTCATTGCCTAGGATAAATTCAATAGCTTTAATAGACAATACTAGAGTTAGTTGGGGCATAATATTTTCTTATGAGATCGACACTCTCTCATACACTTTATTACTTAATCGACTCGTGCAATTGCATCATTATTGTTGCTATAACATAACACAACCATAATTCCCATCACATATGCATATGCAAGTAATCTATTAATATAAGCAAAATAAGCAAGATAGAACACATGGCTACCATGGTGTTTTCCTGTATCAAGTCTTGTAGACCAACCCTACAGGAGTCAGTCTCAATCATATTAGTTATGTTCTTAGGAATCAGTCTTATATCACATATCACAAGTCAGTTAGGTGGCTTTCATGTAAGAATTCATCGCTTATTACATGTTAGTGCATCATATCATATCAATCAATTTCTTTATACCTCTCTTTTCATAACATTTAAGATTACACCATAAACTTTATTTAAAATAAAGTCATCAGCCCACCCTTCTGTATATGATAACATCTCTCCAATCAATCTAAATTTGTTAATTAACTCTAGTTAGCCAGCCTTTCTAGCCCTTTTTCACACATATCATATCATATGAAGAATAATTATTAACTAGTCAAAATGCTCATGATAAAGATGTCTATCACATAAAAAAATTATACGGTAGAAAATTGTTAAAATGAAAGATAATGAATTTTAATTACTTTTGGGAGAGAGAAAATATGAGAAATCAAAATTATTGAAAAAAGAAGTCGGATTCGGGTTACCACGATCAAAAGATTTTTCTTAACTGGAGCAAGGGAAAAAAAATGGCCCAAAGCATCTTTTTTCTCTTCTCTCTCCTCCTCTCTTCTTTTCCTCTCCTTTTCTTACCTGACAAGCCAAGAAATGATGGAGGTGGAGGAATGATGTCGTGATGAAATGGAGATTTATATAATGAAAATATTTTTCAGTGCCTATCGCACCTACACCACAGCGCTTTGAACCAGGCATCATAGCTTGACATGCCTCTCCCAAAGTTACTGTAGAATGGAGCGCTTAGCGCTGCAGCGCTCTCAAGTATATCATCGTAGCATCGCAACGCTTGCAAGCGTAGCGCCCCATCGCCACTGCATTTGTAAGCATAACACCATAGCATTCCAGCCCAAATTTTTTAATTTTCTTTTTAAAATTATTTACAAAATTTTCCAGTTATTACACCATATGTTCCTCTAGACTCACCTTCACATGCTTACCCTTTATGATAGGTCCTAAATACTCGCTCAAAGCACACTCTCGAAAACTTGACTAAGATACTCGTGGAGGAGTGCGTACCACATGTATACTATTTAGCTTGTTTATATGTCAATATCGATCGACCTTGATCACATCATATACTATTTTTTCTATTAATTTTAGGAGTAACTTTTTATGTAGCCCTTATAACTCTATAAACAAAGGATAGAACATACATATTTTCGCCTCCATACTTTGAGGATTAGTTATAGAGATATTAAAACTTTTCACTTACTCTATGTACTAAATTTTCTCACTCGATTTTCTAGTTCTAATCCGTCATATAAATACCTTAATACGATTGAGTATCCTTCACGAAAAAATTTGGATCCAAAATTTATCATTTTTTATTTATTTTTTAAAAATTAAATAACATATACTCAATTAAACTCCATTATTACCAACAAAAAAATAAATTTTGGGCCCAATTATGGACTTATGCTAAACTAATCCTCACGCAAACGCCAACAGGCTTCCAAAGTACAGCCCCAGATGCCAAAGACATCCTCAACTTTATAACGCCATAAAAGAACACAAAACCAAAGCTTTTTTTTTTTTTTCATTTCGTTATCCCACGAAAAACGTCTCTGACCAAACTCCTTCGGTCCAATAAAAAATCAAACTTTGGCATTCAAAACTCTGAACACTCCATTCTTGACCGTCTTTCCGCAGCATCCCAGGCGTTCTGCTCTCCCTCTTTCCTCGAGCATCGAACACGGTTTCCTTTCTTGCAAGCTTGCTCGGTTCCATTTTCTTTCAAAAGCTTCTCCCACATTGTTAATCCTATTTATAAAGTTCTAAACAGAGAGGCGGAGACGATGGCGCCGCACCACCACCATCATCGAAGCCTTTTGCCTCACTCGAGGAAAGCCCAGGATGAAGAAGATGTGCACGACGACTTCAAAGGTGTACACATCTCCGCAACCGAGCACTGGCTAGCTCGCAAGCCTAGGTCGAGCTTCCTCCGCCTTCTTTTCATCTTTATTTTCTTCACCTTTCTACTCATTTTCATCTCCCGCTTCCCCCTACTCTTCCTCTCCGACCTCCCCTACCGCGAAGCTGTTTCCCCTCTTCCGTCAGCTAACTTTTGCTCGCTTTCTTCTGCCCTCTGCTGCGACCGCTCTGCCTTCCGCACGGATATCTGCTTTCTTAACGGCGACATCCGCACCCGCTCTTCCTCTTCTTCCTTCCTGATTTTCTCCAACTCTTCCTTCTCCGAGGAGCGCGTGAGACCCTACACGCGTAAATGGGAAGCACCGATTATGTCTACTATCAACGAACTCCGCCTCAATCTCCGCCCCGCCAACCTATCAGAAACCGGCCCCAAATGCGATGTGCACCACAATATCACCGCTGTTGTGTTCTCCACCGGCGGCTACACTGGAAACGTCTACCATGAGTTCAACGATGGTCTCATCCCTCTCTATCTCACCTCCCGCCGCTTCAATCGTCGCGTCATCTTCCTCATCGTCGAGTACCATGATTGGTGGGTCTCCAAATACGGCGATGTCATCTCCGTTCTCTCCGATTTCCCCCCAATCGATTTCTCCGCTGATAGCCGAACCCACTGCTTCCCACAGGCCATCGTCGGCCTCCAAATTCACGACGAGCTTGCCATCGACGCGAATCGAACGGCGGGGAACGAAACCATGGCCGACTTCCGCCAAGTCCTCGACGAGGCATACCGGCCGAGAATCCGATCAATCCTGCTGGAGCAAAAACAAGAAGATGGAGAACAAGGAAAACTGGAACAGAGGCCGAAGCTGGTTGTTATCTGCAGGAATGGCTCCAGAGCGATAGAGAATGAGTCGGAACTCGCGGCGTTGGCGGAGGAGGTAGGCTTCCGAGTAGAGCTGCTAAGACCAGAACAAACGACTGAGTTGGCGAAGATATACATGGCTTTGAACTCATCGGATGTGATGATCGGAGTGCACGGAGCGGCGATGACACATTTGCTGTTCATGCGGCCTGGATCAGTGTTCATACAGATTGTGCCGCTGGGTTTGGACTGGGCAGCGGAGACGTACTACGGGCAGCCGGCGGCGAAGGCGAAGCTACGTTATGAAAGCTATAGAATACTTGCAAGGGAGAGCTCGCTCTCCCGGGAGTACGGCAAGGATGATCCCGTGTTGAAGGATCCCGAAAGCGTGAATGCGAAGGGATGGGAGGCGACCAAGAAGGTTTATTTGGACGGGCAGAGGGTGAGACTGGATATGGTTAGGTTCAGGAAGAGGCTCGTTCGAGCTCATCGCTACTTGGTCTCCATTGGGAAGGCTGGGAGGCGGCGGAGCTCCGCCGGAAATGCGAGGTGAATTGGGGACTGTAATTAGGGTTAAGTTCCTCAGATTTTTTTTTTAAAACGGATGCAGAAACGATTGTTATCGACAAAGATTTTACTATTCATTTAATGTTTATAGAAAAAAACATTTTGGCCATCTAAATTTCGAATTATTATTATTATTATTATTATTTTGTTTGAGCTAATGTAAGATTTGGGTGCAATCGCAAATGATTGATATTTAGTAGATGTCAAGTTGAGTCGAGTAAATTATATTAAAAAAATATTTTAAATTCTATATGCAGATATAGTCTCCATATAGTGTAAGAGGTTGTTTGGTATTTTAAGAGATTTTGAAATTATTTTGTGCAGTATCAGGTGATGTGACCCGTTCTGATTCGTCTCCTAACGATTAGGTGTCTGCACAGAATAATTTCTAATTTATGAGATAATTTGGTTGGAATATAAAGTGATCTAAAGTATTTTAAATGTAGGGTTTTAAAATTTTGATATTTCATTGAAATACAAAGTGGTGCAAACTACAAAGTAAAGTAAAGTAAATATACTATAAATTATTTTTTTAGTTCATTTTTGAAGTAAATAAAACTCTCATAATTTTGAGTTAGAATCATTTAAACCACAAAAAAAATTGCTTAATCGTCACCACCCGCTGGTCATCATTGTTGCCGCCAGCTGCCTACCAATGCCGCCGCCAGCTACCTGTCGATGTGGTCACCGCCACTACTACCGTAGGTGGTAGCCACCTACCACCACCACTGTCACCTGATGCTACCACCACTGTTAGTTGGCATCGACCACGACCGGCGGTGACCGCCGTCGAGTATCAGTCACCGCCGGTCGCTATCGACCACCATTGCCTTTGCAATTTTTTATGCTTTAACAATTGAATATATTAGTAAAATAAATTTTACTTCAATTTCTACTCACATTTGACCAAATTTTTAAAAGGGGCATAATTAATGGTTAAAAAAAAGTTTTTTATACCTAACTATTATATACAATCTTCATTCTTTTCTCTGAATTTTATTATTTATATTCTAAAAGTAATATACATTTTAATTTTAAATTTAATAAGTATAATTTTAGAAATATGTGTAAGTATAATTAATATACATATTAATTTTAAATGTTTTAATAATTAAATTAAACTATATAACAGACTTTCTGTATATAATTTTATATAAAGAATTTTAATTAAATGAATATGTAAGTTTGAACTATATATGAATTTTAATAATTTTAATTTAATATGTATGAATAATTATTCTTTGTTTATTTCAGCTCTTTTTAAAAATTTCAACCACTGGCAAAATTTTTAAAAGGATTTAAATGGTAATTAGAACCTACGAAGGGAGCGGAAAAAAAATCAGGAGTAAAATCATAAAATACAAACTTTTTATTCAATCGAAATCGAGAAACAATTTCTTTTATACGAAGAATATGAGAAATGATTTCCAGTATATTAAATTTAACAGATTTTATTATTGCGTGCAAGAAAATTTAAGTCGATAGAAATTGAATTTCACATTTTAGTAATGCACAAAAATGCAACACAAATAGAGAAGGATGATAGGACCAGATAATTTTTACGTGAAAGACTCGGAAATGGAAAAATCCTGGGAATGGCCTAATTGTAAAATTTACTATATAATAAGTGATACAAAAAATATCCTTTCTTCAATGTTGTAGAAGAAGAAAATACAAATATAAAAAACAATTGAATACATTTTTTATAACATTTTAGAACTGTTGATAATTTTTTGACATCGATCGTCAATGATG